ATGCACTTGTGATGCACTGTTTGGAACCTTTGGTGTGGTAATGAATATTATATTGGAGTTTCTTATTTAAAAAAAAATATTTGAGATCCACAACTATATACTTGGTAATGCATACTATATATTATTTCTCAAAATTGTCTACATCATCCTCGGTAGTATAGTGGTCAGTATCCCCGCCTGTCACGCGGGAGACCGGGGTTCGATTCCCCGCCGTGGAGAATTTTTTTTTGTGGAATTATTTTCATCAAGGATAATAATATGTCGTGTGCACAAAATTTAATCGGGTAAGTTCGGCCAATCTATATTTCTTTAATAACTTCACTAGGCAACTAACTTTAGTGTGTACAATTATCGGAACCGTAGATCAAAGCCACATCTAAATGTAATAGAACATCAACTTGGAAATTTCAGATGAAATGTTATACAGAATTAATATTTCATAAAAATAAAAACAACAATAAAAATTAATTGGCGCTCCGGAGCGACTTCATTGATTCCAGTGGCAAATTTGCTTTTTCAGCTGCAGGAAAAAATGTACGTGTAGGTGTCTCCATAGGCTCCAATAGATTCCATGCATCGCCAGAACACTTCGTGACACGACTATCGTCAAACTTAAACCAGCCCGTTTCGTCTTTGACCAAGGCGTAATAATGACCAAATTCAACGCCAGAACCACAGTAAACAATGACTGCATGACTGCTAGTTTGAAATGTTCATCTATTTCGAACCTTCCAAAGAGTTTCTTGCTTCCGTCAGAGGTTGAGTCTTGTTTGAAGATCATCAGTGTTATTATTAGATTGACTGGTGCCTCAGCTATACTTGTTTTTCCTTATAACAGTCAGTTAGTTTGGCGCATATTTGGCAATACAGTCGATCATCACCTGTTTAAAATTCTATTTTCAGATGATTTGACAATAAGCTTTACACGGACTGGTTATTAGTCATATTAGGAAAAGCTAGATGAAGTTCCAAAGTATTTTACCTCAAATTATTTGCACTAATTTTTAAAATTACTGTATTGCACGCATTTTGATGGATTAGGCTTGGTAGACGAGGGATATATATCGAGATTATTTTCGTAAGTTATATCTCGAGTGTATATACCACTTTAACAGGCTGAAATATGTGCGAATCCATAATTTTCGAAATTTTGCTAAGCAAATTTACGAAAGCATAAAGGGGTCACAAGTGATTTTGAAAATAAACTTAAATTGCGAGGCCAAAGTTGGAAATTTATAAAATTTCGAATTCAACCCCGGAATTTAATAAATTTACTAGGAATTTATAAAAATCAGTAATACTCTAAAAGCTTCATATTTTTAAAAAATGCCAAAATTGAAGTCGGAATTCAACAAAATTATTTTCATTAAATTACGACTTCTATTTTGGAATATTGCCTGGCTTCAACTCGGAATTTTATTAAATTCAGACTTTAAACTCGAAATTTAGTGAATTTCATGTTCAAAAACTGTGGAACCCCTCCACGCCTTCCTAGAAATAACTTGATACAATCTCTCGACCGTCGCGTCGGCCTCAGAATTTTCTCCTAAATTTTTGTATATGAGCATTTGCTTAAAAGCAATATTTTTAATACTATGGAATTGAAAGTATTTTGATCGATTGATCTTTATTTATTTATATATTGGTGATACAAACAAAAAAATCCACTATACAGTATCCACATAATTGAATTAATATTAAATTAAAAGTAATTTGTTGTACAAGGGAAATATTTTGAGATTATTTCTAGAAAGAGGAAACGATATGAACTCAAAAAATTATGTTTCAAAATGTATGTTAATTTTTTCATTTTATTCGCTTGAACAGGTCTATAACATTCAGTTGCTGTTAAACTCTGTAAACTCTGTAAACTCTCAGTCATCACCCGAAGACGGTTGTAGACACCAACAATCGAAACGTCGTGAACTAACGTGACTTGGAATCTCTAAACTTTTTTATATTTTTTTATTATTTTTTTTTCCTTTAATTTTTATTTATTCAATCATTATATTTTTTACTTGTAGGTTATTTCACTATCATTTCATTTCAGGTTTATTGTTGCTTAATATAATTGTTATTTTCAACTATTCTTTTTTAATTATTCTTTTTTACTTGTTTCAGGGATTTCAAATCATTTTATATAGTAGACAATGGAAGTCCGAACTAGTGAAATTCATCACGAAACATTGTCAATCACCTTCAAACAATCTGTTAACAATGCCTAGCCTTCAAGTGTTTCACCGTTTTTAACCATTGGGGAAAATAATCGCTAACAGACTATATTTCATTTTGGGGTGATAAAAGAAAGCACATACGTCAATAATATAATAGGCGATAAAACACATACTTTGTGAAGAAGTAAAAAACGAACACTAAACAGATACTGAAAGTACTGTTCAGTATCAGCTGGCCCTTCCACTTTTTCACATTCATGTAATGAAACTATTATAATTTATTTGTTGAATCTGATTGCCATTTAACCATTTGAAGATACTTATTATTTTCTTCAGTGCATCCATAATTCCAATGGAACTGACCTACTGTAATGGCATTATCTATATGTAATTTATATAATGGTATAGCTCATACAAACATGAAGCTATATAGCTCAACAAGCTATACTATATAGCTTCATCAATACAAGTTTTTTTCTTGTGGTGTATTGACGGCACTATGAGTTTGTTCATTTTGTGAACACATTTTTCTGAGGTGCTACATGTCTCACTAAAATAGTGCAGTCCTTATGAAAGAACAAAGGTTTCACACATCGCAGCTGGGCATCATTTTCCTCTCTGAAAACTTTGTCAGTTCATTGCCTGGCCAGCACTGAAATAACTGGCATATTGATGATAACCATTCATCATAACTCTCCAAATTCCTTTCATGCAGTGGCAAAAATGCACAGGCAATCTGCCTCTCAATCTTTTCTGGGCTCTCATCTTTTTACCAGCTACTTTCTATTGTTGCGTTTCCAGCGCTCAGCCATTGCCAATTCATATATAATCATTTCCATTGCGCATGACATGTTATGTCGTTCTGACCGCAGCTGCAGAAGGTGTTTAAAACTTTCTTAACAACTGCATATCCCTCATAAATCGGTTCTAGTTTTGACCTCTGAGGAACATCATATATTTTTTCTATCACTCTAATGGCGAAAACAATGGTAAAACATATCCTGTAAAGCCTACAGTATTAATTTTTCCAAAAACTCACTTAAGAGTTCTATTGAATTTTGAAATTGTTTACTATATCCAAAGCTATTTACACTGTGATAGATAAAATAAATGTTGATCTGCCATGTCTGAAATATTTTATTGAGACAGAAGTTGAACACTCACATGTACTTCCGAATCCTTTCTGATGTTTCGGCACAATCATGTCGCTGGAATTGCAAAGGTTGTTTCTCAAAAGCTTGGAACACTGTTCCGAACCAGAAAACTGTACACACCTCAGCAATTTTTGATGCTTTGTAAAGCTCAGATCAGATCTTCCATGGAATATTATTATTCTCATGTATGGAGCTTACCCTGAAGCTGATGGATTCCATCCAGAAAAGAGCCATCCGCCTGATTGGAGACGAGAACATCACTTGCAACCTTGATAGTCTGGGACATCGAAGAACGGTTGGAGATTTGTCTCTCTTCTATAGATACTTTCACGGGAAGTGTTCAAGTGACTGGGCACATTCGATTCCAGCAGGATCGTTTTGGGGTTCAACTCGGTACTCCTCGAACTTCACTGTTCAAGAACTCTTTCATTTAAAGAACTGAGGTCATGTGGAATAAACTTTCTCATAACGTTTTTTTTTAAATGGATTTGATCTACATTGGATTTGAATCGTTACTTTCGCACAGGCACCGCTCTTAGAGCGCCTTAAGGATTTTCCTGCAGTGCTTGTATTTTATCCCTAAAAAATTCAACAGGGCAGTACTTGTTTTAGACTTTACTCATTTGTAACCGAGATCCTTTGGAGGCCTACACACTTCCAATATAATGTATCTTGAGATTCGGATATTTCTTTCTTTGTGTGATTTTTTGAAATAGAGAAATTGCACTTTGATGCAAACATTTCTTCATATTTACAGAAATACTTTTTGAAAATACAAAAATAGATTGGTTGAAGGTTCAACTTGAACTGGTCTCTTATTCTGTGTACACAGGGTTATAATGAGAAACAGGCTCCTCAAAATTATTCAATATTTTATTTACACCTCAAATAATAAACATTATTTTGTATAATCTTGATCCATTCATAACACTGACTTATAGAATTCTATCTAAATGAATGAGATTGTAATAGCAAATTACTGCAAATTTCAAATAAATCTATCATATTCAGAAATTGAAAGCACTTCCTCATAGGTGAGAATATTTTTGAATTATGCGTGATAATATAGGTACATCATGGAAATGTCTATGATTTGATAATATTATTTCCAATTTGAATTCTGTATAGATAGAATCAAGATTCATTAAGATGAACTAACCATTTATGTTTGTATGCTGCTAACAATGTTTCCGATTGAATGTTAGGAATTAGGACTTTCATTGTCATATGGATATTAACATTTCACTTATTTTTATAACATTCTTGTAAACCACATCAATAGATCACAAATTAATTCATTTTCTTTATGAAATAGTTTATTTTTATTTATATCGTCCTAAAACGACGAAACTGCAGTAACGTTAGTTACAAATAAAAGTGGTAAAAAACATAGAGTTTCGTCCTTACTGCAGTTTCGTCCTAAAAGGAACGTTAGTTACAGATAAAAGTGGTAAAAAACATAGAAAGTTTCAATTCTCTTTTCTACATTATGATTTCCTAACACGTAGTACCGGCTACAGCCATCAATTTATTAACTCAGTACTTTTGTTTTAGTGTTTTTTTCAAAAGATTCTTTTTACTCGAGATATTTCAAAAAATTAGCATCATATTTCAGGCAACTTATTTTAATAATTTTATTCTAGTATTTTTAATTATTCTTTCCTTTATCTTCTCTTGGGTTTCAAATCTGCTAACATTTTCAGACAATGAGTCTGAACCCCTAACATTCATTCAACTATACAAAAGGTATTCCTGAGATGGAATTGAAGTTCTGTGATTCATCTTAAATGTTCATAATAATTGTAATTGGATACTTTTTAGGTATATCTTGGTTAAAGTATCCATCATCACTGAATAACTACAAATAGAAAAAGGCTGACATCAAAATATTCAAGTATTTCAACAAAATTCACATATGTGATCTGTGGTTCCTATTGAAATTCTGATACCACTAAAAACAAATCACTAGGATACATACATCGATTCTAAAAATAAATATTTGGTCCTTGGCTAATTCTCAATCTAGAGTTAATGTAAATTGACCAAGGGGATTTTGTCAGCTGGTGCAACAATTTCAGAATTGTTTACAATTTATTACATGAAAATTGAAATATGAGATATTTCCAAGAGGGTCTTTGAATTTCCCGACAGAATGAAATAGTGAACAACAACAAACAACTGGAGAATTTAGCATATCACAAAATCCATGAAATATGATTGTCGTTTTCAGATGAATAATTAATATGGAGAAACTATACAAATGTGGGGCAGACTGATTCAATCTGAAAAAATGAAGATTATGAATATTTACTGATTTCAATAGAACATCCTCTTGAATAAAGGGTTTCTATTTTCCCCCTATAGGTAACTATGAAGGCGACAGTTCAATTTCCTGATTATCTATAATCACATACAACTGTCTATTAGGCATATTCGACAATTCAAATTGTCGATTATGTATTATCGACACTTTAAACTGTCGATCAAAACTAATAGACAGTTCAACTGTTGATTGAGGCTAATAGACAGTTCAACTCTTGACTAAGGATAATCGATAGTTTGAACTATCAGTTTAGGCTAATCGATAGTTGAAGCTGAGGAATAATGCTGATCGACAGGTCAAATTGTTGATTATCACACTGGACAATTTCAACACTCACACCTTCGTGGATAACTGCCAATTACTAGAAACATTCGACATTGTAGAAACTACCTTATTGATCGATTACCCAAATTCAAGTTAGCTCGAATTTGCGTAAAATAAACCAAAATTAGACTGGGTGGCATGAATTAGAATTGAATAGATCAATAAAAGAATATCAGTGCAATAACTTTCAATCCCCAAGGACAATGTTAAATCTCTTATACACAAATCACAGTTCTTGCTAGGTTTATAATTCTTCACTCCAATTAAAATTTCTAACTTCAGCTAATACTTTCTTTTTGATTAAATTCACATAGGATATATAAAATGTTTTCAGACTATTACCCTAATCAATGTATCGAAATTCGGAAAATCACGTCTCAATGTTTTATTATTTACATTATATAAGGTCACTACAACCCACGGGTCTTTCACACAACGCATTTGACACAAAAACTGAGTTTTTGAAAGTAGCTATTAGGAAGGAGTAGCAGAAAATAATTCAGAACTGATATAGGTAGATTTTTAGTTACCAAGATCATTACATAATGGTACTTCAGTAAAACATGTGTTGAGACTCTTGGGTTCCAATATTACATTATTTTATGGTAATACATATTTCTAAGAAAAAATACAATTTTCTGATTTTTGTTTGTTGACTAAAGGAATGAACTTAGATAGGATTCAACTAAGTTTGTAGCCTGGAAGACTGTGAAAAAGTCTAATTACATATTTGCCTGAAAAAAGTAACAATAAAAATGATAATTGTTACTTTTTGATACAACAGCACATAAAACCTAATCAACATAACTGTATCTATTTTGATTTATGAAAACGGTTCTCTAGTTTTCAACTTCATTCAATATAAGACGACCAAAGTCACAAATAAAGAGAACAAAATAAGGGCTAGTAAGGAGTGGTCGAATAAAACCTTAAGTATCAAACGTTTCGTGTGTTTCTGCGGCAGACATCATCAGTGATATGTGTACTTCAGGTTCCTAGCAGCCCAAAATTTGTTCTCTTAGTTCAATATTTCTACAATATTTTAATGAATGAAGCACTAAAATTGCAATTGAAAGACTAGTGGAAAATGTCGAACTCAATGGGAACTTAAATAGAGGTATGAACAATTGAGTCTGTGCAGGATTTTTCATAAATGAAGGAAGTGAGATATATTGGTTTTGCGAGTATAATAGTATATTTCTCCCAGAAACAGTAAAATGACATTAATATCATTATTTTTATTGAAATTATCACGTACTGAAAACAATTCAGAAATACTTCCTCCTCAAAAATATGTAAAAAACGATATTCTACCTTTGGTATACAGGAGTGGTATAAAAATGATATAATATTGATTCATGTAAAATGTTGCTAGAAAAATCTGGCTTTTAAGTTCTATATATCTGTCTCACTACAAGGCTCTACTTTGCTACCGCTCTTTTCTTCATCTCTGATATTCTGATATTTCATCTTGCCTATCTCAACAGTTTTCAAAAACTCACTCTCCCCGAATAAAAATCTTTTTACATTTTCCTCCATTTCAGCATACTTAACCTTATCAGTCTTCAATCCCTTTTTAGTTCCCAGAAGCTCCGACCTAGAATTGTCAGAGCTGCTTATGTCATCTTCCAAGTTATTCTGAATCCATTCAGCCACTCTTTGTTGATTCTGAGCTGAAGTGTCACTTGCCATGGAATTGAACTTTTCGCTACTAGTTTCTGTATTTGAGCTTTCTTCTTTTTGTGCTGCAACTTTGTGGCTTCTTGTATAGAGAATGGGTGCTACATTATTGTGAGCGTTATCGAGTAAAATATTTTTTGTGCCAGTTTGGACACGCATTGAGCAATACCTAGGACCTTTTGGTGAAGTTGTTTTGGCACTGACTTTGTCTTCATTTTTCTCAGAATCAGCTTTTTCCAAATTCAATTCGATTTCATGATTAGGATCTATTTTGTCACATAAACGGTGTGTATTGTTTTTCTTGACCAGTGTTTCACTACTTTTAGAGAAAATATTTGGGATGCCATCAGTTTTAGGTGATGATCTGTTAGAATCTGTTAAGCTGGAATTTTTTGAACTCATTTTGGACTTATCTAATAAAAAGTTGTTCGGCTGTACTTTAACGATGTTGTAGGAGGTTTGGGTAGCAGTTGTTTCTAAACTTTCTAGGGGGTAAATAGGGACAACTCTATTGGTTTTGGAATCGGTATTCCTTACTATTTGGACACCTGAAAAAGAGATTCCTGATTTGATAATGATTTTTACAGACTGAGGCTTACATTAAGAAGCATAAAACAACATCCTGAGATATGAAACATAAAGCTCAGAATTCATTGATTCATCATGTTCTAAAAACATGCTGTAAACAACTAGTTCTGTGAGAGCCAAAAAGATAATTTTTTGAGCCTAATGAGTGCAAGCTCAAATTTTCCAAAAAGTTAGGTATTTGAGAGTCGGCGATGAAGGTTTATAGGAACCTTGAATGAGCCTAAAATTTTTAATATATTTCTTTCTCGCCTTTAGTTGAAGAATATTTAAGAATAAATATTTTCAGTTTTTATCGCATGTGTCTGAGGTAACTATCCAAATATTCAATTTAAATGATGGTCAAAAAAATGTTCAATATCATAATAAGGAAGCCTAAAATTATGACTTAGTCTGATTCAAGAAAATGTTTTTTTCTGTGAAGAAGAATGAAGAGCAAAAACTTCTGGGATAGAGTACAAAAATAAATATAAAAATTCAAAGTGGGTTTGCTAGACTAACAAGGGTAGTAAGTTATGATAAATCATTATTGTTAACTCACCAGTTGAAATATCTGATAATTCTTCTTCACTAGAAAACTGTCTACGTGAATTTGGAGGCATTATGTTGCCAAGAACTTAATAACCATAAAAATTATTTTGGTAAATGTTACAACATGACATGTAATGAGTAGAAATGTCCAACAGTATCAAAACTTGTATTTTCAGATCTGAACATAAACCTATGAAGCTGACACAAAAATCAAACCAATGGAAAACACTTACTAGCAGTACTAGCAAACACATTATCATTACACTTCAAACACAGCATCTCTTTGTAGTCCCCTGTTTGTGTCCCTACTGTGTGGTGTGTATTATCATAAACTATCCTCAAACTCTTTGCACAGGTACACGTATCACAGTGTTTCATATTGACTCTTTCCCTTTGCCTTTCCTCTAGTACTTTGGCCATAATGGCTGCCGAAACTATATCAACGGGGGCTGATTCAACATCTTCTTCTGTTTTCCTTTCAGGTTTGGGAGATTTTGGCACCGAATAAACCATCGCTGTAGGCGGGAAGGTTGGTATTGGCACTTTAATATTCTTCATCTCTGGAACTGATCTACGTTCTTCAGGTTTTTTCTTCGTAGTCATGAAGTTGGAAACTTGAGACTGCACTTCAGGAGGTAACTGAAAATTGAAAAATCTATAAACCGAACCTCATGTAATGAACATAGATTACCGTATCATATCTTTGAGCAACAAAGTTACTTTGTTTGCATTGTAAAAATTGTATAGCTAGGGTAACATCATTTTTGTACCTTTCCTGAAAAAAAAGGAAATATTTTAAGAAAAACTAATAGAGTAATTTTTTAGTAATAGTTATATAATGAAGAATGAGTGATCCCAAGTGATTGTAGTGAACTTGACATCTTTACTTTTGTATACCATTCAACTTGAACAAGGTTGCAAACCCTCTTTTTGCTAAAAGTATTAAAGTATAGTCAAGAAAAACTTCTGCAGTCTTCATTTACGAAAACATTGATTGCGCTGACATTCAAATATGCTGAGATAATTAATAACAACATTATGAGCATAATAGTAAACTTATTAACCTTTCCTAAATCATCAGAAATACTAACAATAGTAAGCTTCATCTAACTCCATAACTGACAAATCCTCCATATACTGCAAAGGCTTGCAAAAGCTATAAATCGGTATTGAACAAAAGTCACTTTTTGTGGAGGCAAATCAGATTTTTTTTAGCCTTTTTTGGGTATTTCCACCTTCCACAAAGTTCTTTATTTAAATTTTCATATTTCCAGAGTGTGTATGGTGAAAATAACCAAAAAGGTCGATAAAAAACTAAAAATCGGTGATTTGCNAACATTGAATTACACGAAAAAAAAATTTGAAACAACTACTTTTATGTAAACATTAAATTATACAAAAAACACTTTCTTATTCAGTCATTGAGGATGACAGTGTGCCATGCAAGTAAATATAAAACATTCAAAATTATCAACTTAATGAATTATCAATACATTTTCATTTTTATATAAGGTGTACAGTAACATTAATATTCAGTATGTCACTGCAGCAGTCACAGTTTCAACTGTCGATTATAGGACTACTTAACGCCTGTTCAATACTAAAAGATAAAATTATTCTATATCCTTACTTATATAATCTTCAATATACCCACCTTTTGTACTTATCCTGCCAAGTTATTAATTCTTCTCTCACTGCAACTAGTTCACCATTTGGAAATTTATTAGCTTCATTTAAAAAATTGGTTTCCATCGATACAATATGGTTTTCCTTTTCAAATAAACGTTGTTTAAGGTTTTCAATTTCTACATGTAGCTGGACATCATGGTCAGTGGATATGCATCTTTTGCACGTACAGCCACAATCCTAGATGGAAAATATGGATGATTACACTTTTCAATTTGAAGTGTTTTTTTTACGTACCTTGCATTTATTGGCCATTACTAGAGACGAAATTAAATGAAGTAATACTCCTTCTGGAAGCACTAGGTCATATTACACCAACCTCTGGTGTTGAGAAAATTGCGACAATCTAGTTTCACAGATGAATTAAAAGTTATCTTTTTATGTACTTACGTGGTTAAATACAGAAACAAAGTAATATGTAAATAGTTCAGTATTTATTTTTTTATTAGACTGTGAGACGTGTCTTTTAATAATGAGAAATCATATCAACTTTTTGATTCAACCTTGCAAAAGCAAATTAAAAACTACTAAAAACACGACAACACGACAGACATTGACATTTATGACGACTTGGGAATTTCCTTTTCCTGTCATCTCTGGAACTGATCTACGTTCTTCAGGTTTTTTCTTCATAGTCATGAAGTTGGAAACTTGAGACTGCACTTCAGGAGGTAACTGAAAATTGAAAAATCTATAAACCGAACCTCATGTAATGAACATAGATTACCGTATCATATCTTTGAGCAACAAAGTTACTTTGTTTGCATTGTAAAAATTGTATAGCTAGGGTAACATCATTTTTGTACCTTTCCTGAAAAAAAAGGAAATATTTTAAGAAAAACTAATAGAGTAATTTTTTAGTAATAGTTATATAATGAAGAATGAGTGATCCCAAGTGATTGTAGTGAACTTGACATCTTTACTTTTGTATACCATTCAACTTGAACAAGGTTGCAAACCCTCTTTTTGCTAAAAGTATTAAAGTATAGTCAAGAAAAACTTCTGCAGTCTTCATTTACGAAAACATTGATTGCGCTGACATTCAAATATGCTGAGATAATTAATAACAACATTATGAGCATAATAGTAAACTTATTAACCTTTCCTAAATCATCAGAAATACTAACAATAGTAAGCTTCATCTAACTCCATAACTGACAAATCCTCCATATACTGCAAAGGCTTGCAAAAGCTATAAATCGGTATTGAACAAAAGTCACTTTTTGTGGAGGCAAATCAGATTTTTTTTAGCCTTTTTTGGGTATTTCCACCTTCCACAAAGTTCTTTATTTAAATTTTCATATTTCCAGAGTGTGTATGGTGAAAATAACCAAAAAGGTCGATAAAAAACTAAAAATCGGTGATTTGCTCATGGAAATATTAGTTATGCCTTAAACTAGCCATTATCGTTTAGGGATTCAATTAATTTCAGGTCTATCTCAGGCTATTGAAAGTAGCTGAAAAATTATTTAAACAGGTAATGGCTATTCAGAGTGATCATAAGATATTAAGACTAACTTCAGCTTTGAGGAAGTCTACTAACCATGCCATTTTTTTTTTTTTTTAAATATCATGTAATCTGAACAGATTTTAGAAAAGGATGTTTCGAATTGGTTCAAATTCTATGAGATAGAGATAGAGAAGAGTTTGTTAAAATAGAAGAAAAACTATGACAGAGTTGCGATATCTTTTTCAAAATTTCATATTGGGTCCTAACCGTTTCTGACATATCTGAACAACTCAGTTACTATTTCATTTGAAAGAAGTTTCACTATTTTTGCAGATGATAGCACCTTTCCCTGTAATATTCAAGAGACTAACTTCAAGGACTTAGATTTATTAAAAAGTGCAATTCTATGTAAGTGTCAACACTGTAATTCAATATAGTTATTTCGGATAGCCTCTTCTTTCAATTTGGAGTATGAAATACACTGTGTTGGTTTTAAAAAATGAAGCTGTATTTGTCTCACGCAAAGCTGGACTATGAGAAAATATTTATACAGATGAATTTTCAAAAGACAAGGAATTTTAACGAGAGAGGTCTCTGAAAATTCCAAACTCTCACACATGGTTAAAAACAAATAAAAATTTAATTTTTCCTGCACCAAAATGAATTTGGGTAGATGTCACATCATATAAAGTATTTAGATAACTTCTCAAATAGGTTTAACTGAAAAAATTACAATTTCACCATGAAATTCTGCTGTGATATAATTTATACAAAAGTCTTCAGATATTACCTGAGAAACAGTAGCTCAAAGGAATAATATAAAATCCATCCACTCCCCAAATCAATATTTCAATACTGAGAATGTATAAAATATACTTACGTTGTCTTCAGTCAATTTTTTAATAGCATAGTTTGCTTCAGCTAATTTGTGTGATAAAGTGGCCACGTCCTTTGTAAGGGTAGTCTTTTCAGTTTCACACACATCAACCAATTTCAACAGTTTATCTTCTAAACCCTGATTTACCCTTTGAACCCTTCTATGTGCTTCATATAACCTAAAAATGATTATAACCTGATCAAGTTATGAAGTCATCAGTTGTCCAGTTCATTTCAGTAGGTCTTCAATACAGAAACACCAATAGCGGTGTATAAACTGAATCAATATTGGGAAAGAAAGGTTTTGGCTTTCTACTTCTGTTTGTACAAAAAAGTGTGGGAATCTTGCAAAGGAATAAAATCAAGTGATTTCAAAATAAACTCTTTATAAGATGTGTAGATAACGACAACACGACAGACATTGACATTTATGACGACTTGGGAATTTCCTTTTCCTGTTGGGAATTTCTGTTTACACACATACTTTTTTCCAGGTTTTACTTTCTCCTTTTCGATTAATCTATAGCGTAGGCAACTTCTAACCTAGAAATTCGTATTGCTTGTTGTCTATATCATTGAGGTAGAAGATCAACAGGGTTAGGCGAATTAGGAAATGTCAAAGAGTTTGGATGACATATTTGTGATGTCATTGGAAGAAAGTAGCGCAAAATTTGAACACATATTAACGAATGTATTTGATTGGAATCGAAAAGATGGAAATTAATGAGATGATTAAGACTACTAAGTGGTTTCATTTTGTGGAACATTTTGTCTGTATGAATATCGTTGGACGGGTTTGATACTTCATCAATATGATCTGGGGCAACGGTCGGAAACAGGCGGACCGCGAAAAGTTGAACATCGGACCGCCAAATATTGTAATGTGTTATATACCAAGTATGATAATTAACACATAGATAAGGTATACTATACCTTAATCAATTGAAGTAATAGATGTTTTCAAGTCACATAGATTTCAACTAAGTATGTACCTACTTATTTTATTTCAAGTTGCTTAGTCAATGTGTTTTACAAGTACCTACAACTGATATGGTTTTATTAGTTTCATATCTACCCTGTGTGTATATGTGTTTGTGCGCGCTTGCCACGATTTTGTTTTGTTGAAACAAGCGCAAGCGAGTATCAAAATCAGCGGTGCGGGCGTGTGGGCGGGGGAAGCAGCCTGTCAGTCGTAGCGCAAACCGCGGAGCAACCATTCGTTTTGTGATTTTTCGCGTTTTTATAATATTTTCGTACCTATGCTAATATGGATTCTGAAAGGCGTGAAATGGACAGTGGCAATAGGGGGTTTCTGGCAGAATGGACTGAACAATATTGTTTTACGCTGCCCAATAGGCCTCAAGCGGTTCCAGTGTGCCTTATATGCAATGAAACTNTGGACAGTGGCAATAGGGGGTTTCTGGCAGAATGGACTGAACAATATTGTTTTACGCTGCCCAATAGGCCTCAAGCGGTTCCAGTGTGCCTTATATGCAATGAAACTGTCGCTATTGTTAAGAGTGGTAATTTGAAGCGACACTACGAAACAACTCAACAGCAATTTCACAAAAACTTTCCTCTTGGCAGTAAGGCTCGTAAAGAAAAACTTCATGCATATCTCGGTTCTCACAAAAAATAGCAGAAAATTACTAGTTCCTTGCATAAGCGAACAATAAAAATCCACAGATCAGCGCTACGTGTGTGCTGGATGCTTAATGAACAGTAGAAACTCTATTTTCAGCCACTTTTTACAAAAAAGAAGTCGCTGCATTTCAAAGTATCCCATTTTCAGCGAGAAGTAATACACGAAAAACGAAAATTTTTGCTGATGATATTAAAAACAATCTTCTTGAACTTCTGTAAAAGGCACCTTGCTACGCCATAGCACTTGATGAATCATGAGACATTGTTGATAATGAACTAATGCCTATTTTCGTAAGATTTCTTGATATTGAGTGTCAGATTAAAAGATACACTTCGGTGTAATTTCTCACATCAATTTTAGGTCTTGATTTGAAACCAAAACAATACATAGGCAGCACTTAATTTTTATCAATAGTATTTTTCTGTACCTCGTCAAAATTTTCCCACAGTTACCGGACCCCACTTAAAACTACTTGCCGACTCCTGGTCTGTACGAGAGTTTGAAATATCCCTGGTAGTCATCGGTTTTCAGAAGAATTAAATAGAAATCTTTATGGAGTGCAGTTTATTCCAAATGATTCATCAGCCCCTCAGGAGTCGTTTTTGCATTCCGTGATCGGTTTATTATGGTAGCTAGACTAATATTCAGCATGATCGAATACGTTGTGAGCTCTATCTGAATTGAATTTGGTTTTAATTTCGGTACTTCTACGAGTGAGCCTTCGAAAGCTGCTGATGTTGTGAATGAAGCTGGTACCTCTATTCCTTAGAGAAAAACAGTTTATAGGACCGCTGTGAATCTAATTATAATAAATGCTTTTACTGAAAGGTTACTCATTACAAGAGATACTAACATAATCTAACAAATGGCAGAATTCAACATCTGCACACAATGAATCAGGGCAGACATTGCTCTTTCATCCAATCATCTACGTATTTTTGACTGTGGAGTTGGGTTTCGGTTGGTTTGGTAGATCTCTCTGAAATAAGCTGTAGATACCACCTGAAAACTTCAGCACAAAGTGTCTATGTCATAATTTTTGTTGTCATTTGGTCCAAGTGTATTATGGATTGTCATAATAATTCGAAAGAGTAGAACGTGAAAAATTCTGACATACATTCGAAAATTCTGAGATTATTCATGAGAGTCACTTTCATCTCAATAATATGGAATGTATTTCACCACGCATTTACTTTCAGGTAGTTTCCTCTTCAGGTAGGATCAGCAGTGCATAAGGATCGTTATGAGTTGGCAATTCATAAGTTAAAATCCCATTGTCTTGCTTTCGAGAGGTTCTTTAGCGGAGGCGACTTCTCCAACTAGTGCTGACCGAGTATAGGTTCTACCGAGTGGTTTTCCTGATAGAGCCACAGCCGACCTCAGAGGACGGGTTTGGGCTGTTCCTCCCGGGTGAAGGTGAAGTTTTTTATCTCCTCTTTCTTCTTCTTTCGGATATTCGTCGCAACCGGAGCAGAGAACTTCATGAAGAACATTAACTCACTTTGATTGCAGTGTTTCAAAGACCATACATGGGTTTGTTAACCTCCAAAATAGCTCATTCTCATCGAGTTATCTCCTAGATTATTAGAAAGTTCACAACAATAGAGCAAAAATATTGGATGGAAACTACATATATCATCTTTTCAATCATTTTATTTGTCAACACAACAAGATCTTTTATAATAAAAATTGGAATATGTAAATATTTATTACTATATGAATATTGATAATGGATTACTTATTTTATAAAAATCAATATATCTATGGTAATTATATACAGTAAGAAGGTCTTTGGTTGTGCTGTAAGGAAAATGACATTTTTATATTGCAAATGTCGATAATTGCTATCGGATAATTCAGATCACAAATCATTTAGTCTATCTTATTCTAATTCTTCTCCTTGAAAATTAATTCGTATATAACTACAAAATAGATATATTTTGGAATGTCAAAACTACTTTCACTAATTTGTAATACTGAATAAACTGTATATGAGTTTGTACTATTATACAAAGGGTTTTTGAATTCCTCAAAAACATTTTTAAATCTATAGATAAGAAATTAAATTGAAAATGGAATGAAAAACAGCCACCATCCTATCATCTTTGGCATGGAATGAAATGTGGTTAATATTTGGTATTGCTATAAGGTGAAATGTACTTTCTTTGGACTTTTGAACCATCAAGATTTTGGCCTGGGTACGTTTTCTACGAACTGACCAATAAAATTTCCTCTCGGTTCATAGTTGGCCACCACATATGTCTGACCTCGTTTATTTTTTGCAAAACCGATCCCCAGTTCCTTAGTGTTTTTCCAAATAACTTGAGAGAAGTGTAGAGACTGCTGATTGACTTTCTCGATGCCAAAAACGTGTTGTTTCACTTCATCATACCACTCTTTCACTGCATCTCGTGCTGTTGGGGTGTGACTGAAATCTGAAGAGTAGACGGAGAAGATATTTTCTCCGTAAGGACAATTGGCACGGTGTTGAAGACTTGAAGTCTTAGCGCAAGTATCCGCCCATTCTTGGGCATACTTGCAAATCTGGAACAAAAATGTAAACTTTAAAGAGAGATTTTTGATACAGAGGTTGAAATAAATAAAACTACACGTTGAAGTGGACGCAGACAGATCGTTACGGTATAAATTATAACCCTACCAACTATAACGATAGAGATCAAAAGGTAATAGCCAAGCATTGCTTAGAGATCACCTAGGAGAAAATAGAATAAGCTCTTAGTGCACCAATACGAATTCAAAGGCGTTTATTCACTCTTCGAAGCTTGATACAAAACAGTTATGGGACTATAATAGGGATAAACTACGATGTCTAACAGTACTTCTTAGAGGTCACTGTCATTCGAATCATCATATGCAGAGACTCGAACTGTCGGAAGACAGTGTGTGTCGCCTCTGTTTGGAAAATGATGAACCAGCAGAGCACATACTTTGTACCTGCCCCACTGAGGACCGACTCAAGTTTCGACGGAGCCGTACTGTTATCACCTGACCTGAAAGACCACTCACCATACAAACTAATCGGCTTCGTAAGCTGGGTTTATTTGGTCGAGTGTGAATATGTGCGGGCCACAATAAACCCTTGCGGGTTACGGTGGAGGGTCGAATAGACCCAACACTTTGGACCTAACCTAACCTAACCAATACGAAATTCTTCTTTTCAGTGTGGCGAGATTGTTGGAAGCCTTGGAGAAGATTATTGTAAAAAAAGACAACTTGTGACATCAGCAGTAGAAGTAGTCGAAGTTGCAGATAAAAAACACCCATTGCGTGATCAAAGCATGATTACCACGAACACTTGCATCTATTGGATAAAATAAACAATCCTCCTTACGCTGGCCAATCAGATTTATCTGCAATCAGCTGGCGGAATTCATTGTTACAGTGTCGGAGTGGTCAGTTACGTGTTAACGCCTGTGGTGTGTACATATACGGTATTTCAAAATTTAAAATTTTCAAAATGTCAGGTACTGATACGGCTGAAGAAACTGCTGAATTGTGGCCCTACACTCCATCTGTACCCATCCTGTACCCAGCCGCATATTATTTAAAAAAATTTGGTCGTTTCTTGGTGGTACTCTGTACACGCAGCCTTGCCTGGGAGATCACATGCAATATAGATTAGGTTAGATTGTCGGGGAGCTAGACCACGGTCTGATTCACTGCAACATTTTCAGATCTATTGTGATGCTCCTTGGTTGTTAGAGCTCATTGTCTAGCTTGATCTCTCCATAGCCTTGACACTGACCCTTTTATATAGCTGGCAGCCCCTGGTTTATCTTCCCCGCATCTTGCGTGTCTTAGCCTTGCTATCGCTTCGCACCCACAGAGCACATGCGGGCGGTTCCTTTCTGTTCTTGACAGAACCTACATTGGATTTCTTCTGTCAGACCCATGTTGCTCATATGTTTCCTGAGTCGGCTATGCCCCGTTAGTAGACCTTACAACCTTACGGTTGTGGTTTAGCAGGTCTTCCGTGAATCTGGGCGATGGTTTCTTTATGAACTCTTTCACCTGCCTCATTCCTAGGAGCTTATTCCACCAATCTATCGATTTGGCTTGCACCCATGAATTTATGGATGTCTTTATACATGCTTTCTCTACCCCGCAGAAGGGTTCTGGGCCGATCATAGCCTTGGATTCGCCTTCACGTGCTAGAACATCGGCCTCCTCATTGCCCTTGTGACCCTAAAGTCCGGGTACCCAAGCTAGAGTGACCCTATTTTGGTTACTTAGCTCCTTGAGTGCTCTCAGACCGCTTCCCACCAGTCTTAAAAATACTTGAAATGAGCTGAGCGCCTTAATTGCCGCCTGGCTGTCGGAGAAAATGGCAATGGTTTTATTTGTGACCTTCTGCCTGTTAATTTCTCTTATACAGTGTTCGATAGCCGCTACTTCTGCCTGGAACACAGTTGCATTATGTCCAAGGCTGAGTGCGATTCTCATCTTTGCTCTGCCTCCATATATACCGGCTCCCACTCTTTCTTGGGTCTTTGAGTCATTTGTTTATCAAGTTTCTTCCGCTTTTTTCGGTGGGCTGTTTCGCTAGCCTCTCTACTTGATATGATGATTTTGAAAGTTGTACTGTGGAACTGTGTTATCCACGGGCCTTCCTAGTATTGGATCTACCTTCAGTTCATTGTACAGTTTCAAGTTTTCTGCACCGTGTGACTGGCTGATTGGGGTTTGCCCCTGCATTAGCCTCTGTGTCACCAGTTGACCTTCTCATTGTATGTAGATGTGCAATGGTGAAAGTCCGAGTAGGACCTCAATTGCTGCAGTTGGGGTCGTTCTCATGGCTACCGCGACACTGATACGGCTGAAGAAACTGCTAATTTGTGTCCCTACACTCCACCTAAATTTTTTCTATACCGCAGCGGCATATTATTCAAAATTCATATTATTCAAAAATTGGTCGTTCCTTAGTGATACCATGTACACGTAGCCTTTTCTGAGAGATCACATGCATTATGCATGATAATGTTTTGGAGCACTCTGTTGCTTCGTTGGACAGAGTATGGGGTTTTGCAAGCTATAAATGCTGTGCTTATATTTGAAATTTTTCCAGTAGAATGAAAAACGGTGGGACCGGTCTTTATAAAAAAGACAAAATAGATCAGGAAAAACGAATAAGCCCTATCGTCACAAAAAGTTGCTGAATGTTTCGCGAGAGCTTTTAGAAAAATGTTATTGACCAGAGTAAAGATTGAACTAGTCCTTCTGAAGATGCAGGGACGAAATAATTAGTTTATGGTTGTATATGTGTAAGTGTGTGTATATGATTGCAAGATTTTTTATTGGCTCACAAATGTTTTCAATCTTACCAACAGGTTACTCTACTCAATAATCATCGAAATCATTCGTTTCCATACTGACAGTACCAAAAGATCTATCAAAATGACTTATATAAGGTGTGATGTGCTAATGAAAATGAAATTTATCTTAATTTCGATGAAAGTCTCCAATATCAATTTTCGATGTATTGATTAGTGTAAATGACACCGAGAAACGTCTAAATTGGTAGCAAATTGCCAAAAACGACTCTCCTCAATAGAAAGACTTTACCAATTGTCTGGTTTGGATTCTTGGCCATACTGGCCTGGAAGGCCTTGCGAAAGAGGGTGCTGCAAACAGCTTTATCGGACTAGAACCTGTCTTAGGCTTTAATAAAAAAACATTGGACACCTGGATGGCAAAAAGATTTATGGACTTCTGGCAAAATTCTCTAAGATTGGCTCACTCCAATACGTTCATTTACTTTTCGAAGCTTGAAACCAAACAGTTGTTGGACCACCGATAAAGTACGATATCTTACAGGCCTTCATACAATTCACCATCACCATATTCAGAGACTCGGNTATACCATTCAACTTGAACAAGGTTGCAAACCCTCTTTTTGCTAAAAGTATTAAAGTATAATCAAGAAAAACTTCTGCAGTTTTCGTCTACGAAAACACTGATTACGCTGACATTCAAATATGCTGAAATAATTAATAACAACATTATGAGCATAATAGTAAACTTATTAACCTTTCCTAAATCATCAAAAATACTAACAATAGTAAGCTACGTCTAACTCCATAACTGACAAATTAATCCTCCATATTCTGCAAAAGCTATCTGTTTCTGTTTTTCCGTTATTCAGCTGTCGGCCCCATACGAACGACAACTCTCGGAAGTTGAGAAACTTGTTCGAGCTAAGGACTAACGAAGTCTTACCTTTTAACGTGTGATTCCTACACGGTAAAATCGGTATTGAACGAAAGTCACTTTTTGTGAAGGCAAATCAGATTTTTTTAGCCTTTTTTCGGTATTTCCACCTTCCAGAAAGTTCTTTATTTAAATTTTCGTATTTTCCAGAGTGTGTAAGGTGAAAATAACCAAAAAGGTCGATAAGAAAACTATAAATCGGTGTTTTGCTCATGGAAATATTAGTTATGCCTTAAACTAGCCATTATCGTTTAGGGATTCAATTAATTTCAG